GCACATGCAAAGCATAATTTTTAAAAAACAGTCAACAACCTAAGGTTGAAGAGAGCAGAACATATGAGATGGAACTTAGCAGCAATCCTTAACAAGAAAAACTAAATATGGGTGTATGTGTGTTTGGGTGTATGTATGTTTGGGTGTAAGTGTGTTTGGGTGTATGTGTGTATGAGTGTATGGGTGTATAGGTGTATGTGCGTATAGGTGTATGGGTGTATGTGTGTATGGGTGTATGTGTCTATGGATGTATGGGTGTATATGTATGGGTGTATGGACGTATGTGTGTATGGGTGTATGTGTATGTGTGTATGGGAGTATGTGTGTATGTGTGTATGTCTCTCTCAATACATATTTATCTCCATGGGTGTGTTCCTTACTATATTTTTTCTGTCATCTTTGTAATTAAAAATAAATTAAGCAAATCTTAAAACTATTTTTTAGTATAAATCCTTGATAAAGTGTATTATTATTATTATTATTATTATTATTATTATTACTATTATTAGTTGTGGTTTTATATAGAGTGGTACCCCAGCCTATGGCTTAGCTCACCACGCTGCACATACAATTAAAAAAACATAATCATGAACTTTAAAATTAACATACATTAATTAAATACAAAAAACAGCAAATGTATATTCACTCCCCACGTTCAGAAACTATTTAAACGTCAAGTCATGGACGGCTACCCAGCTGCATCGTTTTGCCATCAGAGGAAAAGGGGGCAAGTGGGGGGGGGGGGCTTAAAATTTGGCAAAACATGCATTCAAGTATAGAAACTTTATAAGAATTCCAATTAGTGCTCCTCCCCCCCTCCCGTTCTCCTCCCCCCCTCCCCGAAATGCTCACAACCGCATTTTGTTCACGCCCCTGAACTCTATTAATATTCTAATGACCCACCCGCTTTTACATCCCAGATTTATTTCACCAACAATTTTTGAAAAAACAAGAGAAAATGTTACACTCCAAAAGGAAGATTTGTTGGTCTCTGTAGTTCTTTTCATTTTTTCTTTGCAATTCTAATGCTGCCCTCTTGGAGACGACTTCTTAGCTAATTGCTATAGTTTAATTTTGTTCTCGTTTTTTTTTTCTTTGCAATTCTAATGCTGCCCTCTTGGAGACGACTTCTTAGCTAATTGCTATAGTTTAATTTTGTTCTCGTTTTTTTTTTCTTCTGTTGTTTGTATGCTGACGAAGGCTTTCTGTCTTCACGTTCATTGTTTTGTTTCGTTCCTTTCCAATTCCAATCTCATTTCCAATCTTTTTTAAGGTAGGATACATGTAAATATATTATGTGAATTTAATTTATATTTAGCCTAGACCTATATGATTTTTTGTACTGATGAAGGCATTTGCCGTAACGTCTACATTTGTATGTTATATAGTCATCATTAAAGCTGAACATAATATAATGTTTTAAGTACACAAATTGTTGATGTCTAATCCATCATCACATCTCCTTCATTTTCGCCTTGAAAAAGGGAAACAACTGATTGTTTGGGGGTTGGTATTGGGGGATAGAGCTGAACATTTTGCAGAATATGCTGTCATCGGCAATGAGTCTATATACCAGGTTTCAGCTCGATAGTGGACGCAAAGTGGGTCAGTTAGTTGTCCGAAGATTTTGCCACCCATCCAGAAGCACACGAACAAACGCGAAGTTAATAGAAAGGATTTTAAAACCACGTTTTAATGCACGAGCTTTGTACAGTGTTGGACTGTTCCCATTCACTACAGCCAAATGTATTTCGTCAAGTTTGAATTTGGGACGGATAATGTATCCTCTCAGCAGCACTATTCTCTCAGCAGCATTAGTCTCTCAGCAGCATAATTCTCTCATCATTATTCTCTCAGCAGCATACTTCTCTCAGCAGCATTATTCTCTCAGCAGCATTATTCTCTCAGCAGCATAATTCTCTCATCATTATTCTCTCAGCAGCATAATTCTCTCAGCAGCATTATTCTCTCAGAATTATTCTCTCAGCAGCATTATCCTCTCAGCATTATTCTCTCAGCATTATTCTCTCAGCAGCATTATTCTCTCAGCAGCATTATTCTCTCAGCAGCATTATTCTCTCAGCATTATTCTCTCAGCAGCATTATTCTCTCAGCAATATTCTCTCAGCATTATTCTCTCAGCATTATCCTCTCAGCAGCATAATTCTCTCATCATTATTCTCTCAGCAGCATAATTCTCTCATCATTATTCTCTTAGCAGCACTATTCTCTTAGCAGCACTATTCTCTTAGCAGCACAATTCTCTTAGCAGCACTATTCTCTCAGCAGCACTATTCTCTTAGCAGCACTATTCTCTTAGCAGCACTATTCTTTTAGCAGCACTATTCTCTTAGCAGCACTATTCTCTTAGCAGCACTATTCTCTCAGCAGCACTATTCTCTTAGCAGCACTATTCTCTTAGCAGCACTATTCTCTTATCAGCACTATTCTCTCAACAGCACTATTCTCTTAGCAGCACTATTCTCTTAGCAGCACTATTCTCTTGGCAGCACTATTCTCTTAGCAGCATTATTCTCTCAGCATTATTCTCTCAGCAGCATTATTCTCTTAGCAGCACTATCCTCTCAGCATTATTATCCTCTCAGCATTATTCTCTCAGCAATATTCTTTCAGCAGCATTATTCTCTCAGCATTATTCTCTCAGCAGCATTATTCTCTCAGCATTATTCTCTCAGCATTATTCTCTCAGCATTATCCTCTCAGCAGCATTATTCTCTCAACAGCATAATTCTCTCATCATTATTCTCTTAGCAGCACTATTCTCTTAGCAGCACTATTCTCTTAGCAGCACTATTCTCTTAGCAGCACTATTCTCTCAGCAGCACTATTCTCTTAGCAGCACTATTCTCTTAGCAGCACTATTCTCTTAGCAGCACTATTCTCTTAGCAGCACTATTCTCTTAGCAGCACTATTCTCTTAGCGGCATTATTCTCTCAGCATTATTCTCTCAGCAGCACTATTCTCTCAGCAGCACTATTCTCTTAGCAGCACTATACTCTTAGCAGCACTATTTTCTCAGCAGCACTATTCTCTTAGCAGCACTATTCTCTTAGCAGCACTATTCTCTTAGCAGCACTATTCTCTTAGCAGCATTATTCTCTCAGCATTATTCTCTTAGCAGCACTATTCTCTCAGAAGCACTATTATTTTAGCAGCCTTATTCTCTTAGCAGCACTATTCTTTTAGCAGCACTATTCTCTTTGCAGCACTATTCTCTTAGCAGCACTATTCTCTTAGATGCACTATTCTCTTAGCAGCACTATTCTCTTAGCAGCATTATTCTCTCAGCATTATTCTCTCAGCAGCACTATTCTCTCAGAAGCACTATTATTTTAGCAGCCTTATTCTCTTAGCAGCACTATTCTCTTAGCAGCACTATACTCTTTGCAGCACTATTCTCTCAGCAGCACTATTCTCTCAGTAGCACTATTCTCTCAGCAGAACTATTCTCTCAGCAGCACTATTCTCTTAGCAGCACTATTCTCTTAGCAGCATTATTCTCTCAGCAGCACTATTCTCTCAGCATTATTCTCTCAGCAGCACTATTCTCTCAGCAGCACTATTCTCTTGGCAGCACTATTCTCTCAGCAGCATTATTCTCTTAGCAGCACTATTCTGATAGCAGCACTATTCTCTTAGCAGCATTATTCTCTCAGCAGCACTATTCTCTTAGCAGCATTATTCTCTCAGCAGCACTATTCTCTTAGCAGCATTATTCTCTCAGCAGCACTATTCTCTCAGCAGCACTATTCTCTTAGCAGCATTATTCTCTTAGCAGCACTATTCTCTTACCAGCATTATTCTCTCAGCATTATTCTCTCAGCATTATTCTCTCAGCATTATTCTCTTAGCAGCACTATTCTCTTAGCAGCACTATTCTCTCAGCAGCACTATTCTCTTATCAGCACTATTCTCTTTGCAGCATTATTCTCTCAGCATTATTCTCTCAGCATTATTCTCTCAGCATTATTCTCTTAGCAGCACTATTCTCTTAGCAGCACTATTCTCTCAGCAGCACTATTCTCTTATCAGCACTATTCTCTTTGCAGCACTATTCTCTCAGCAGCACTATTCTCTCAGCAGCACTATTCTCTTAGCAGCACTATTCTTTTAGCAGCACTATTCTCTCAGCAGCACTATTCTCTCAGCAGCACTATTCTCTTAGCAGCACTATTCTCTCAGCAGCACTATTCTCTTAGCAGCACTATTCTCTTAGCAGCACTATTCTCTCAGCAGCACTATTCTCTCAGCAGCACTATTCTCTTAGCAGCACTATTCTCTCAGCAGCATTATTCTCTCAGCATTATTCTCTTAGCATTATTCTCTTAGCAGCACTATTCTCTTAGCAGCACTATTCTCTGAACAGCATTATTCTCTCAGCATTATTCTCTTAGCATTATTCTCTTAGCAGCACTATTCTTTCAGCAGCCCTATTCTCTTAGCAGCACTATTCTCTTAGCAGCACTATTCTCTTAGCAGCACTTTTCTCTTAGCAGCACTATTCTCTCAGCAGCACTATTCTCTCAGCAGCACTATTCTCTTAGCAGCACTATTCTCTCAGCAGCACTATTCTCTTAGCAGCACTATTCTCTTAGCAGCACTATTCTCTTAGCAGCACTATTCTCTCAGCAGCACTATTCTCTTAGCAGCACTATTCTCTTAGCAGCACTATTCTCTTAGCAGCACTATTCTCTCAGCAGCACTATTCTC